AGGTCACCTCAGCCTGAGCTATCAGTAATGAGCGAGTTTCAATTCTACATTGAACGGCTCTACAACACCAACAAAACTCGAAAGGGTGTCAGCAGCATATTGTTCCATTATCGAAATTTGAGACTTACTGCAAACCTATACCATAATCATTTCTTGATCCAACTCCAGGTTGCGGAACATCTTAACAAACAGCTTTCGCTAAACTTTTTTTCCCTTAGATGTCCGTCATACTTGATCCTCTTGATCATCTCAGTCCACTTGATCCGTCCGCTTCGTGCAAGACGCAAGTCACTATTTGTCATTTGGCGTCACGTACAGCGAACTAGCGCAACCATACAAAATTCCTTTTTACCTATGCGGCGCCAAATAACAAACTGCTGTGTGCGCACATTCAACACAAAGCAGATCAGGTGGATTAAGTGGACTAAGAGAATCAAGAGGATCAAGTATGGCGGGTGCCTTACACCAAACAAATATCTTACCACGCTGTGAATCTTCAGTGATTGATGTTGTTCAGCATCGTAAATCCCTTTTGTGAGGCTTGCTGAAAATTGGATAATTCAAAAATACGTTTGCAAACAGAATAAAACAAGGACTACAAAGTCTTGCACATGTTGGCCTACCTATGTGCAAACTAGTTTTCAGAAATCAAAAAATGGCACTAGTAAGACTACGGGACCTTTCGAACTGTAAGTGAGCCACGTAGTTTACCAATATGAAGAGTGGTTATGGTGTCCAGGGGGTACAACAAATGTAGTTGAAGAGCTGACTATTTGAGTACAACAATCATTCTTTTTTTATCTCATTTCAGGTATCTGATGTAACTAGAGCAGTGATTTACATATTTTGTTCAGTAATTTATGCCATAATTTCTATACAAACGATCTACATAATTCATAAAGATAATGCACGATGGAGGAAAGAACACGATGATACACAAGTAGGAGGATAACAGACAACGACAAGTGAATGAAATCACTATTACAGGGAATGAACAAGAAATATCGCTCAATAAAAGATTTTATGACTTCAAGGGAAATCATAGCTAATACGGTATTATGGACATTGACCACAGTTGCATTCGCTTTGAGCATTACAATACTTAACGAAGGCTTTTGTATCAGAGGAACACATTTCAGTAGCGGTAAGGATTGTTCTTACACAAAAAGCTTTGCTTTATGGAAAAAAACCCTTGGAAGCATAACTTCGCAAATTTTCAAGCAAAAAAACTCTTGCTTTTCTGCGTTTATCCAATGCGCTGAGCCTGAACTCGCCTTAGAGCCGGAAAAGGAAAAACTTCGCGCATTTGCTCAGTTTCGTGCATCTGGAAATAAGCACTATACCGTTACTTCAAGGATATTTGCGGACCTTCAGTTATTGCTGTAATAAGCCTCGTGTGTGTTTTACGTTGAATTTTAGTGAAGTGCCGCCTACTACGATTTTTTACGTTTCTGGCTATCCTGCTGTCTACTGTATATATGATCACAAGAATGGCACCGCTTCTTGTCATTGTTATAAGGGAGCATTGTATCGAAATGATGGTAAGATACATGTATACCAAGCTAGAACTCTGCGTACTTATCGTGATCTTTGAACGCGGTGGAGCGATTATTTATGCTTCTCTGCACATGGTTGCTGGCTTTTTTTGATCCAATATTTTCATGACCGAATCCCTGAAAAATAATCAAATATTGTTATGCTGATTCTACTGACATCTTAAGAAATGTCAATTCAGCTTTTGAGAGCAAGGATGCGGTTGGCTGTTTACCACTACTTGCATTATTTGATGTCACAGATTAAAATTGCACCTGAATTATTTAGTGAAGCTGCATACAAGACGGCTAGTACAGAAGCGCATGTGTTCTTAAAGGTTAACAGAGATCACCGCGAACGTTCTAGAATCTGTCCCAACGTTTGCTTCAGGTCATCGAAGGTTTGATGCGTCTTGAGCTAAAAGAAAACGCCTCTGAAATTGACGTGATCGCTGTTATGAAGACTAGGCAAGCTATAAGGATGATGAGCTTTCAGTTGCAGGAAATTCTGAATACCCTCAAAGCGTTAGTCATTTTCCTAATGTTTTTTCTTGGTTTGTTTAGAAGCAGGCAAATGCCAAAATTTTTAAGGGAAGGCTTCATGCCACCAGATGCCAAGGAGAAATGGAGCGAGGTAGTTTCCGAACTGCATGACAGAGGCGACGGAATTTTGTGGATACCGCAAATCGCATTTCTGTATGTTTTCAATAACAAAGTGTAGTTTTGAACGCTACCTTTTTCATAGGGATTGGCTGGAATGTGTCAAATGGATAGCGCCATTACGAGCCAGTAGTAAACAAAAAATTATTGAGCTACTTAGCGAAAAGTTGAGCCAATCAGTGGTTAGTTTT